ACACGAAATAGGGTGAATACATCTCATTACAATGATTTACTGGTAGTCTCGAAACCCTACTTTCTTACGGCTATTAATATAGTTCAAGAATATGATATTGAATTCTAGTCTTTCATTCTTAAATATATTGTTGTATATTTTATTCTTTGCGTTTTAAAAATGATACCTATAATAATAAACAGTAACTAATTCAAAATAATTTTAAACAATTTTTTATTATTATTGGTTTTTATTATTTACATATTGCGTTTGTCCTATTTTGGATTTTTCTTTTAGACTTCGTTATAAATTGCTCCCTTTATATTTTCTCAGCGCCGTGTCTGCATCATGGTAGTGTTTCATGCTTTTATTGTCTTTTAAGGGCCTAGTCAAAATTCTTAAGAACAAGGCTTATTTCAAGCGGTATCAAGTCAAATTTAGGAGGAGAAGGGGTCTGCTTTATTAATTGCTTATCATTTCAGAGGGCAAGACTGATTACTACGCCAGAAAGCGCCTTATATGGCAAGATAAGAACAAATATAATACACCTAAATATCGTTTTGTCGTTCGTTTTACCAACAAAGATGTAATTTGTCAAGTGAGCCTCATCTTATTTTATTCTTAGGTCGTTTATGCTTGCATTTCTGGTGATAGGGTTCTCTGCTCTTCTTATGCTCATGAATTGCCTCAATATGGAGTTAAGGTGGGGCTTAAAAATTATTCGGCAGCATATTGCACTGGTCTACTCTGTGCCCGTCGTGCTTTAAAGCAGTTAAAACTCGACGGGATATATAGTGGTCTCACGAAAGCGGATGGATCGGATTTTCGCATCGAAGATACTGGAAATCGACGAGCCTTTCGTTGTTATCTCGATGTTGGCTTGGCCAGGACAAGTTCTGGCGCTAATGTGTTTGGGGCTCTCAAAGTAAGATAATTTTGTAAAATTATTTCAGGGTGCTATCGACGGAGGCATTTCGATTCCTCATAGCATAAACAGATTCCCGGGTTTTGACAAAGAGTCGGGTGATTACAAGCCAGAAGAACATAGGGCAAGGATAATGGGACAGCATGTGGCAAACTATATGAGGTCTCTTAAAGAGGAGGATGAGGAAGCGTACAATCGTCAATTCTCGCAATACATAAAGGCTAGTCTTGGTCCGGATGACATTGAAAGCATGTATGTAAAAGCACATGCTGCTATTCGGTCTAATCCATCGAAAATTGCAAAGCCAAAATCTGAACCTCAGGAAAGAAAGCGCTATCATCGTCTCAAAATGTCTTGGAAACAAAAGCGCGAACGTGTTGTCTCCAAAAAATCTATCTTTCTTTCACAGCTTAAAAAGCTCAATCAGCTAGAATAATATTTTAAAAAATAAATCTGTCGGATATTCTTTCCTTTTTAGTTCAGCTTCTGTGGTAATTGGCTTATCTAGTTGGGCGAATGCTTCATTACCATCTGTCTTGCTAAAGAATTATAGTTACACTGTGCAATCTTTGCGTGTTCGCCCCTTAAGTCAACTTTCACTATTGCTTTTGTCCTGCCTTGCATTTCTTTCGCTGATTCTTGCGTTTTTTATCGGTGACTGGTCAATTGATTATTTATTCTTACTCATTTTTGCTCTGCCTAATCCTCCACTTGCATTACCTCCGTAATCTGTGTC